CGCAAAAAAACAAGACAGTTGATTTCCAATTGGATTGATGCATCACTATGGTGTGTACGTTAGTGTCACAATTAACAGTTATTACAATAATTACGTGGTTACTACTGGTGTCGGTAGCAGTGATTTGAAAGTCACCCATAAAATTATGGATCAGTGGCTTATATCTAGAGTAATAACAAACGGAAAGCGCAGTGACAGGCCTAGTGACACAAGTGGTAACCCTATTGCATCAGGCTCAAATGTTGGAACTTTGGAGCATGAATCAAAACATATTTAAAGTTCAAGAGAAAATAAAAGCTATAATAATAAAGTTTGATTTATGTGCACATCGTATTCAAAACCAACACTCAATGCTTTTCTTGCAGAATCTGAGAAAAAACTTTCCGATGAGGTGCAAAACATTACTATTCAGCATTCGCATAATTTGAAAATATATTTTAGAATCTACTTTCCTCTTCCTGATTCCAATAGTAAATGGATTTATGTGTTGAAAATTTAACTGCTGTTGAAGAAAATAGCCTTATCTCTCGTGTGACGCTTCACTAAAGTCATTTTTCTTGCCAAACTAACTTGACAGACTTCTGGTTACATGTGAGATGTGATGATCCTGAACCATCATTCAAAGTAGTAAAATATATAATTCCATTTCCTACAACCTATATATGTGAGCGAGGTTTCTCTCAACTTGCTTGTATAAAATCGAAGTATAGTAATAAGAGAAATGTGGAGCCGGATCTTTGTTTGAAACTGTCAGACAATTGACCCAGAAATTAGCAAAATTGTTTCAGTAAAGCAGTATCATCCTTCACATTAAAGTAATTCGTTATATATATATATATATATTAATTTACAACATTTAAATCTGTTTTCATTGATCTTTTCTTAAAACTAGAATCAAGCTGTAAAGGTAGTAAAATATGCATATGATTCACCAGTTACACATGAGAAAAACCTTTTAATGGGAGGTAGTGTGCCAAGGTAGTAAACAAGTTGAAGGGGGTTCGCTGGTTGGCAAAGTTAGGGAACCCCTAGTTACATTCTAAAGATCATATAATGAAAAGATAAAATTTAGAATTTGGAAAAGATAGCCTTGGCTCGAGTTTAGAAAATTATATTTTTCTAATAAACTGGTTGATTTATAGAATTAGTTGATACTGGCAGTACTGGAGGCCAGCACTTTACAGGTGTTTAAGAGGGTAATTGATGATGTTCTGAAAAGTAAAGGTGGGTTTAAATTTTTACCTTTTCGAAAGGTGGATGTACAAGAACAGCTTTGAAGGACCAAATTGTACCTTGTTGTCCATAGGTTATGTTATGTATTACGTTAGGCCAAATTACTTCCCTGATGTTAAATACAAACTTCATTTGTACAAGCTTTAGAGACAAATCTCACTCTGAGCAGATAATTTTAATTCTAATCTTAAAATATTAAAATTCTCTCTTAATTAACCTAAAGATTCACCAGATAAGTTACCAAGGCTTCAGGTCTTCCTTGTACTATTCTTTACACCATTTAGGTACACAACATTATGTTTTTCAAACAAAATACATGTTTATAATAATGAAGCTTTAAGCTCAGTGGCAAGCTGATGAGAAGAAATGTATAGTTACTATAGTTTAAGCTTTCTAACCTATATGTATATATACACAAGAGACTTATATATCAGATAGAATAAATAAATATTCCATGTTGTAATAATAAAAAGTAAAATATAATTAAAAAAAGCTACCTCTTTTGGTTTACACAATAAAAATCATTGTTTTTGAAACTGACCTACAGTCTCAAACACACTCTTATATGTAAATCACAACTTAGTTATATATACATAAATTATATTATTAAAGTTTATTTATATCTTACCCAGCTGTTGTAATCACACCAGTGGTGCTATCAATCTTGAAAAGAGAAAGTGTTTCATTACTTAAGGAGTAGGTGATATTGCTGTTAATCCCTTCGTCCTGGTCATGAGCTTTAACAGTTATAACTTTTGTGTTCAATAGAGCACCTTCAGAAATTGATGCACTGTATTCACTTTTCTCAAACACAGGATCATTATCATTCTGATCCAGAACAGTAACAGTAATGTTACACAAGACTGAATGAGATGGTTTCCCTTTGTCTTGAGCCTCAATAACAAGATAATACTCTGGAATCACCTCTCTGTCTAGAGGATGGCTAGAAAGCTCTCCACTGTGGAGGTCTAGGCTAAATTTGTTGTTGATGTTTCCACCTCAAAAAAAAATATGGAAAGTAATTAATTTTTTTCAGTACACAACCCGCTGTTGTAATAGTTTGAATGATTTATTTTAATAATCTATTATTTAATGTTATAAACACTGATGAGAAGATAATCAAAAATTAAAAATTTCCCATTAAAATACATAAGAACTAAAAATTATTATAAAACAAGAACTTAGTTAGGTCCCAAACAAAGTAGTAGTTTAGTTATTGCTTTCTGTTGTGAAAATAAGTTTTAACAATATCCTGATGATTGGAAAAAAATATCAGATTACTATGAATTATGAAGCATTTTGTTTGTTGCAATCATTTATTTATTCTATGCTCCTCTGTTACAAGTTGCTGATTCAATTTTTAACTTGAAGTATAATTATTTGCTCAAGCTCCTGAACTTCAGCAGTTATATGACACAAATTCATCATAGTCATAAATCAAAAGTCCATAAGTTTTGAATGATAAACACTTGTTAAAATTGTAGTAATTTTGACCTTATGATACCTTTTATGGTATAGGTAACTTCAGAATTCTTCCCTGTGTCCAAATCAGTGGCCACCACTGTATGAATAACACTGAGATCACTATTTTCTGGAATCTGTAGAGAATAACAGGAATCCCCAAAACTAGGAGCATGGTCATTGACATCAAGAACCTCAATTTCAACTGTTGTAGAATCAAAATAAGCAGGAAAATCCCCATCTTTCACATAGACTGTAAGTAAATAAATGGCTTTTTCTTCTCGATCTAGTGAATCAGCAGTAAGAATTTGTCCTGATTGTTCATTAATGATAAACTTGTCACTGGCTAAACCTTTTGGAATGATGTATGTCAGGTTTCCATTAATTCCTATGTCATAATGAAAAGCACTGCTAATTAGAAAAGTCAATACAACTCACAAAAGAAAACACATACATATATATATATATATACATTATATTTAATTAGAATTTTTTTTAAGTAACACAAATAATATATATATATATCTTTTAAATTAGCTATCTGAGATCTTGAGAATTTGTAACTAAACTATGATTAATTTTGAAACATAGCTGTAAGAAACCTGTTTGGGCTCTTAATTGGTAAGATAGCACTAAAGACTTGAAGAAAAAGCAGTTTGTCCAGTAATGGTCTTTAGTCAATTTTCTTAACATCCAACCCTCCTACTTAAAATGTTACCTTAGCTTAAGTGTGAAAAAAATAAACCTCTAGGGCAAATTACAATAACATTTGATGTCTATTTCTGCTTTATATTGATTAAACTAAAAGTGCAAAGTTAAATTTGTGAATTTGGTGTACCATTTTTTGTTTAACATCAGTTGTTGTCTCTGAAACTAAAACTTAGAAACACATTCTTGTGTACTACAACGTTTTACATACTTTTTGATCAACATTAAAAATGCTTAAAATACTTAGTACTTGTAAAAATTTGAAAACACAATCAACCATTGTGGTAATAGTTAAATAACAGAAACTTATAATCAATTAAAAATTCAGAGTAACAAAAACTTATCAAGGTTATCAAACCTGAATTTCTAAGTGTTGCAAAGAATGAGTCCAATAAAGGTGAACGGACTTAATATTTAATATTATCAAAGTTTTTACATTTTAAAGTTATAAAAAATTAACCAATACCCAAGTCTTTGTCTGATGCTTCAACTTTAATCACTTCTGTTCCAACTGGTGATTCTTCTGAAACTACAGCCTTATAAATATGTTGGTAGAACTGTGGGGGATTGTCATTGACATCTTCTACATTGATTTTTAGAATCTGGGACGTTGATTTTACTGGCTTGCCATGGTCATTAGCTGTGATGTTTAGTTCATAAAAGTGATGCTGCTCCCTATCCAAAGACTTGGCGATTGACAATAATCCTGAAAGAAATATGTTTATCGTAATTAAAACTGTATTAGGAAATAATACATGGTGCTAAAGTTAGACACTACATTATGTTACATTTCCTTTTTACTATAAGCGAGTTACTGAAGAAAGCTGAATGAGAACTGCTACTACTGTCATGATTCAAGATTAAAACTTCAAAGGCACTAGTTGCAATTCTGGCCTCATGCATTAAACTTATTCTTCTCGTAATGTAGGAAAATAATTTAGGATACTTCTATCAAAATGGTTAATATGGTTATGGGTTAGGACAAACTAACAAGATATCTATTAACCATTTTTTATAGATATCGAAACTATACGACGGAAATATAGCCATATGAATGTTTATGGTCGTAGTTATAAGGAGTAGAAACCTGGATAGGTATTTGTTCTCTCACAGTTTCAGCACCAACAAAACGCATTATAATGATATTCTAAATATTAGTGGCAGGTTACTTTATTACTGTTTACAAGTACTAAGTTAACCTTAAAATTTTGTATTGCTTGACGCTCTTTGGAGTACACTTAATAATAAGTATAACCTTAAATAAGTTAAAAAAATATTCGCAAGAAGTCAATCAAATGCAAATGTATGTTAGTTATTAAAGTATCCTTAAAATTAAATATATTCAAACATCCATTTCCAGATGCTTTTTACCTAAAAATCTTGCCTTAAAGCTGAATATTGAATTTTACAAATAAAAGCATTTCAAACTGAGTTAAGAATAGGAAATGTTGCATGAGCTCAAGGGTGCAATTTAGGTAGGATAGGGGGAGTGTCTCCTCCACGTTTCATTTCAAGTTTTTATTCTGGGAACAATATGTATATATATATACTGTTGGTTATTTTTAGTGCTAAAGCTACAGAATAGGTTATCTTCCCTCTCTCCATCACTGGGAATAAAATCCGGATGTTCGCGTTGTATTTGTTTGTTTGTATGTTATTAAGCACAAAGCTACACAATGGGCTGTCTGTGCTCTGCCCACCACGGGTATGGTTGTCATTATTCTTTATAGTAATAATAACTGATCATTTTTAAGTCGATCAAGACTAATGTTTGATAACTTACGTCTGTTGCTGTTTATAGGCAATTCAAATGTAGTAACTTCAAGTTTAAAAGACTCATCTATAGGTATTGACTTTTTCGACGTTGTTAAAGATCATTTTGGGTGAAAACGGTTCCATATTTTGTAATCACGTTCATATCATGTAATCATGTACATATCAGTTTATCCAGGTGATTTTAATCAACACATACCCCAACTTTATCTTTGTTGTTTAAATGGTTTTTTTTTGTCTCTTTTATTATGTTCTGATATTTTTATTATGTGTTGTCCATGGAACATGTGATGGAATGTGAGTTTTATGTAAGCACACGAAATTGTATAATTCATCTTACCGAAACATTGGTTCAAAATCTTTGTGAGGAAAATATCATTGAAATAATCACTTTATTTATAACTAAATGTTCTTTTACGATTATGCTCATTTGTGTATTTGGAAACGAATAAGTTTAAATGATGTTTTGAAAAATACAGAAATATAATATCTGGCTTGTAGAAATGAAAGCATTATCTTAAGCAAACACAAAAGTCAAAACTTTCCATCAAATGTTATGTTGAAATAGCCCACAGTGATTGTATGCGTGATAATGTGACGATCTTTGTATTTCCTATCAAACAGCAGTCTTGACGTTAGTGCCCACACTGATTGTATGAGCGACGACTTTTGTATTTCATAACAATCAAAGTTTATGGAAATTGGCAGCGGTTTTGTTTCTAGGTGAGTATGTCTATTGCAGGGGAAAGTTTTATGAATAGTACTTCAAGTGAATGGTAATTGTTGTTACTTTAAGTAATTTCTATATTAGTAAAGTTTTTGTTTGACCCTATCGCACCAGGTATCCTTTATTGCACATGACACAATGTTTTAGTGTCTTACATTCAAAATTTTATTAAAAGGATTGTGTTACAAAGATTCTGTAGACGGATGTCGTTTCTGGGTGTGTATCTTACAAAGGCTGATAGTGTTTAACAGAATTGCATATATATATTTCAATTAACATTTAATTTTGTACGTTTACGAAGGTGTGTCTATGCGTCCATAGGACAGCATGTAGGTTTCAACGTGTCTCTTCCTATTTTTCATCTACTTTGTTTCTATAGGACGATAGTGTTATTAACACAATATAGTTACTGCTGAAAAGTTTTATCATACATATTGTTTTTATAAACATTGAAAAAGTAAGTCAGTTTTGATTTAACATACTGATTATAGTTTTTGCTTCTATATTTAAGCATACTTTTTACATTTCATATGGTTTTATACGTAAAACACTTTTCACTTCTATACCTAATGTATAACATCCTGAAAAAGATGTATAACACATGTTTCCTGGTTATAATGTCTGGCTTAAAACGTATCCTTACGTCAACTCTCTGTGTCTATTTTCATTTGTATCTGTATTTTTAACATCAGTAGTAAATCATTTTGCTGCAACTAAATATATTAAATGAATGACTTGCTGTTTAAACACTACCTGGCTTTGTAAAACACATGTAACTGAAAAATATAACCATAAGTTTAAATCTTTATGCAATCATATAAAACTATCCACTTAATAAGATCATACATCTCTAGTAACACAATCTGCCTATAGTAACTCTATCTGCCTACAGAAATATCATTCACCTTTGTAAAACACATGCAAGTTAAAACTATAAAGTAACATGTGTAACAGGAAGTATTTTGTCAAGAACAATAAAAATCATAGTTATATGGATAACATAAAGCCATGCTGGTGATACAGTAAGTTTGTCATTAAAATAATGGTTTTACTTGTAACATAATTAAATCTAGACATTTATGACACATTGAGACACTATCATGCCAGCATACCAATGCGCTCTCTAGTTACACTTCTGAACAATTTCTGTTGGCATGACAACATTCGCCTGCCATGGCGTCCTAGCAACGTGCCTTTAGTAATGCGCCCTCTGATGACACTTCGTGGAACTATGGCGTGATCATTTATGGTGTCTATGACATCATCATCTCTACTTTCCTCCCCCTGTACACTTGTTTCGCCCTCTAGCGGCGTACCTGGCAAGTACCGCAATAACTACTGCTAAACAAATATTTCCACCAGAGAATTAGTTCAACATCACAAGACTTCTTGGATAAAGCTCATAAAAGCGCCTTCATTTTTCTCAAAATAGGATTCTCTTATAGCATTTTAAACACAAAATTCATTCAATTCACAGGAAATTCAACAATATTCTTGCTAATGATTACGGGTTTAGAGGTTCTACAGAATATGATGACCTTTTAAAAACTTTCATGTCTACACTTCAAATCTTCTACAAATTGTTTAGGGTAATAGTGAAATACCTTAGAGTATTGGTTTTATATCCTCTTAATTTAAACTCTTATTATGTATAGTTAACGCTAGTAATATACACCTCATAGTATGTTTAGCATATTATTTTCTTTGTGTTGCATTTAACATTGTTATACCTTTATTACAAAACCAACATTCCAGCATTTTTTCTACGAATTCGTTTATTTTGTTATTTGTTTTTTGTATCTTCATAAACACTATTTCTGGGCTGTAATCATTATTATGTCCTGCTACTTTACTCCACACCTAAACAGTAACGTGTGTCGTGGTAATTTATCTCAGATGCTATGCTAAAGTTTCATTGTTGGAACTGTTTATAGGTTTACGTTGGTTACAAGACTTTCTTAGGAAAGCTTGTTTAAAGTTTTGCTTACATATGATTAAATAACACTTGCCAACAAAAAATTGCTACTTTAGAAAACTCAAGTGATTCGGAATAATTTGATGGTGCTGAGTTCAAACATTTAGTCCGAATTTGTCCATCACCTCTAGATTATGAGTTATTGTAATATCTCAATATTTTATCAGCACTATGTGAAATACCATGTAATCAACTCAGTACAATAGATTTATGCCGTGATATTAAGTTTACTTGGAGAGTGGGTAAAAGGCATACATTTTCGATAACTTCAAATGTTGATTGTATTGTATCGGTGTAAAATTCCAAATATATTGTTCACATATACTATTTTTTTTCGATATAACTGTAGCGAATTGTACAAATTTTGCTTCATTCCCAAGCTTACCTGCTTCACAAGGGAATCACAAAAATCTCACGTGCTCAGTTTGCTATAACGTTCGAGGAGTCCCTCCCCTCGAGTGACCATAAAAGGGGTGCAGTCAGATGCCTCTCTCTCAGTTGCCTCCCATTCACTCAGTTGGTCACTTCACCTCGCTCTGTGCACAGATAAAACAAAGTCTGATCTTCTTCCTCTCATCATACCCGCAATATGTTCAAATTCTGCAACAATTTGTGTTTTTCATCTTTTAAACTCTAGTTCTGTAAATATGAAATATTTTATATTTTTTATATGACTAATATGTTTAGATATTCAAACGAAACTAAACAATAAATTAAATATCTAAATATTGCATCTGCAATGAAACCATTACCTCATAAGGATGGTCTTCCAGTGCCACATCCATCAGCGAATTGAGAAGCAGAAGAGTTATCCTGCGAAGAGGACAATAAATCATCTTCATCCTCTTCATCTAGTAATTCTATTTCTGTGACACCTGAACATAAACTGCCTCATTTGAAAACACAAGAATAGCTAAATGATCTGATTCATGGCTTGTCTCTATCAAAGCAACATGGGGAATTTCTTGGCTCTCATTTACAGCAATAGAATTTATTAGCTCCAGAAACAAGAGTTTGAATGTATCGAAATCGCCATTAAATTCTTGCTTCTCATTACAGTATGCAAGATATTTTGTGTTTATGTACAAATGTTGATACGTTTATGAAAGAATTAGATGCTGAACATCCTCCTCAAGAATGGAGACTTTTTGTCGACTCATCTAAAGTTAGTCTAGTCTGAAAGCTGTACTTTTGCACAATGGGGACATTAATCCATCGACCTCTGTTGCTT